TCTCTTTTATTTTCATTCTTTATTTTAAATGTCTTCTTTAATATTTCTTTATATTCATTAATATCATTTACTTTAATTCCAAATTCATGTATTAATCTTTCTATTGAATATTTGATATTCTTTTATTGTATTTATTATTAATTTAATTGGTTGAGTGTGTTGTTAAATGTCTATTTGATTCATTACTTCATATTCAAATTATCTTTTTATTTTCATTTCATTATAATATAAATAGCTAATATAACAATAATGAATAGCAGACATATTGTAATAATAAATTAAATTTCATTGTATTTAATGTTTGTTTAATTTGTATTTAATTATATAAGTAATATTTTGAAATTATTCAACTATCTTTTATTTTTCAGTAATAAACTAAAATAATTCTCATTATTATTATCATATCCATATTCTTTATTTTACTTACATTTTATTTCATACTTATTGAGTATTGTATTATAAGTCTATTTATTTTATTTAATGTCTATGTCATGGTGAATGTATTATTTATAATAATTGATATATTTTATTTGATTTTGAATCACATTTACAAAACACTGTAATTCACACTCTAGTCATTATCATGTTAATAAAACTATGCTATTAATAATTAAAGTCAATTAAAATACCAAAGCAAGAATGAAAATAGATTGAAGAATAAAAAAGGTTGAAGCATTATTCATATTATGATGTTCAATTTGTTCGTTATTGTTATTATCTGGTTTATCATCTGTCTCATTTGAAGAATTGGTGTCTGTTGTATTTGTAGTATTATTTTGTTTTTCTTCTGGAATTATTTCTGGTGTTTTGTCTGAATTATTCTTTCCATCTTGTTCATTGTTTGTTTTTGTATTGTTTTTTGAATCGGTTTTTTCATTTGTTGTATTTCCTTTTTGTTCATTCATTTCTGACTTATCATTTCCATTAACTGGTTGAGTTTCTTTTTCTTTTGCTGATGTATTATCATTTGCTTCTCCATCATTTGCTCCTGTTGTTGACTCTCCTCCACTCATTTCTTTTCCATTATTCCCTTCTTCAACTTTTCCGTTTTTATCTGTTGGTAATGCTTCATTTGAAGATCCTCCTTTCTCATCTAACCCTTCTTTTTTGTTTTTTGTTTCTTCACTTTCTCCTGTTGCTTCAGTATCTCCATTATGTCCTTGTTCATTTTTTTCTATTTCTTGCTCTTTGCCAGAATTTGTTTTTCCTGCACCTTCTCCACTTCCTTCTGCTTTCTCATTTTTTTCTTGTGTTGCTTCACCTGTTGACGGTATTGTACCTTGTCCGTCTTCTCCATTTTTTACACCTGATGCTTGAGGTGTGCCTTTTCCACTAATGTCGCTTGTTGGTTGTGGTGAACTTGGGTAATTTGTATTGTCTGTATTGCTTTGTCCCTTTTCTCCTGTTGTTACACTTTCTGTGCTTGTTGGTTCTTGTCCACCTGTGACACTTGTTGTTTTACTTGATGTATCTGATGACACACTTGTTTGTGCATTATTTGGTTTTGTTGTACTTGTTTTTGAAGGCTCTAGTGAGTTATTTGTTTGTGGTTGACCTTCTTGTTGTTTATTATGAGTATCACTTGCGTCTGTGGATTGTACTGATGGTGTTTTTGTTATTCCTTCTTCACCTTTTAATTGTAATTTATATATTTTGTACATTATTTTATGTTTATTTGATTGTATTTGTGTGTGTATTACTTTTGTATTATTAATACTTTCTACCCCATTACTAATTACAATAATTAATAGAAATATAAGCATTGAATGAAATGTATGTAAGTTTTTCTCTTTAAATGTATTCTCTTCTTTTTCTATTATTATAGTATATTTTTATTTTACTTTATAATGACTCAATTATTTCATTTTTCATTTCATCATATTCTTGTATTATTGTATTTTGAACTTCAACAATAAATAGAATGAAATGAAATATTAAATTAAAATTCATTTCATTTTTGTAATTTAATAAACAAAATTAAATAAACATTAAATCTAATAAATAAATCATAAACAATAACAACAACAATGAATGAAATGAATAATAATTTCAATTCATAATTCAAATCATTATCATTTTAAGAATATATTCATCATTTATTGATTATTCATTTTAATTTGTTTCTTATTCTCATTTTATTTCATAATGTAATTTCGATTTATCTCTTCTACTTTATGTAACGATTCAATTGTTATTCTTTGTTATTTTATAATATTTCTATAAATTGAAATGCATTATTTTGTTAAAATATTCTTTATTTATTTTTATTCTCTTAATTTATTTCTTTATTATTCATTGTTCATTTTTTAAATAAAACAAAATAATAAATATTATACTTAACACTTTACTAATTTGAACAAATGACAATTAATTATTATGTAAATATAGTATCAACATTATGTAATATATTAATTATATTTACTCTTTTGTCTTCTTTATTTTTAGTGTTTTCATCATTTATATCTATTTTCAATTTATATTTATTCTCTTTTGATTTATATTAATATTAAATTTATCTTTTATACTTTGATTTTATTATTATATCATTTATTATCATTTCTCGTTTTATTTATCATTTATTCTTATTATTCTTTTGTTTTTATATTCTATATCATATATTCATATCATTTCTATTTTATATTTTATCATTTATTACGTGTTATAATAACATAACACATATGATTGAATATATAATAAACATCATAATGAAATTATACATATAAATAAAACATAAAAAAGAATAAAATATTTTTTTATCAATAAAATAATATTAATTACTTTGCATCATTAAATTAGACACTTTTTATTGAATATTTCGTATTTTTCAATAAAATGTTCAATTTATTTCATTATTCTTTTCATATTTTATCATCTCTTTTGTTTTATTACTCTTTATATTCTTTCTTTTTATATTCTCTACTTTATACTTTTATTCTTTCTTCATCTTCTTCTACTTATTACTTTCTTTTTAGTCTTTTATATCTTTATCTTCTTTATCTATTATTTGTTTTTTCGTTGTTGTTTCTTTTTGTTTATTGTATTGTTATTTATCAAAATTATCTTTCTTCATTTCTTCATTCTTTTTATTTCTTTTTTATTAGTTTATTCATATTGTATATTTCATTAATATTTCATTTTTATATTAATAAAATATATATTTTATTGAATTTGTGTTGAACAAAATATTAAATAGATTCAATATTTTCAGTGTTAATTATTCATTCTTTATTATGAAATGTTGTGTATTTTTATTTTATTAAATTAATATGATGAATAGATATCAATAATATTGTTTATTTGATTTTAAAATAAATAATAAATGAATATGAAATAATGAAGATAGTGAATTGATAATGAATTAGAATAAACTAACATTGAATAAATTGAATAAAGAATAAAATGAATATATTATTATTATTCATACTTTATTATTATTATTATTTCAATTATTAAATAATAATACATTAATATTCAAGAATATTTAATTGATTGATATTTTACAATTTCAATTTCATTTTATTTAATAAATGAAATATAAATAATAAATGAATGATGGAATAGATGGAATAATAAAAAGAATTTAAAAAAGAATAAATAATAAAGAAGTATAATGTATTTAATATATAATATAATTTATTATTAAATATAATATTAATATAAAATGATGATTTATTTTTATGACAAAATATTTTTGCTTCAATAAAATGTTGCTAATTATTTTGCACCATTAAATTTTGTGCTTTTTTATTTGTTGCATTAAAATTTGCATATTTTTCATTCTTTTCTTCATTTATCTTTTATTTCTTTTTTATCTTCTCATATTTCTACTTTTATTCTTTTATATCTTTCTTTCTCTTATTTCCATTATTTGCTTTTTTCATTGCACTTATTAAATGAGAATAAAAACATACAAAACAATCCAACAAGTTGGAATTATTGGACTATTTATTATCAATGAATATTCAATTAAAATTAATCCACTGAGTCATTTTGTTACAAAATTAATTTATCTGTTCACATTCAACAAAATATATTTACATTCAATTGCAATAAATTTTGAAATAATAAACAATGTCTCGTGTGAATATGGATATGAAGAATAGATGAAAGTGAAAAAATAAAGAAGGGAATCATCAAAAACATAAAATGAAATAGTAAATAAAAAGATAAATGAAATGTTCAAAATTTATAGAACATGAATAAATGAAATAAAATAAAAATTAGTTAATTAAGTATTAATAGATTTCTCATCTATTCTTCCTAGCTTAAGGGAGACTACTCACATCCCTGAGTTGTTTTTAAAAAGATTAATCTTTTTGTTTAACTTATCATTTAAGTTTTTCTTGGAAAATGAGGAAGCTACTTCTTTGCTTTATTTCTTCATATTAAGGTTTTCCAACCTTCTTCTGCTTAATTCTTCTTTTTAACCTTTTGTTTATTTTCTGCCTTAATTTTAAACATTTTCTTTTTCATTTTTTCTTTATTTTATGAAAGAGAGAAGAGAGCAATTCATTACCACTATATTATTATGTTTAATTTTCTTTTAGTCTTTCTTTGAATAATCTTCTTTTAGTCTTCTCCACACTTCAGTAGATTCTTATATTACAATATGTAATATTCTACCATAATATCTTGCTCCACCCTTTGCAGTTTTACCCCATACATTTCTAATTCAAATATACTATCATAACCAGATAATAACTAGGAGATTCAATACTTGAATTGTATTAATGTTTGTGTGTTGTTTCAGACATACCATTCGATCTCCTGAACATGAATAAATGAAATAAATAATCATGAAAAATGACTCTTTATTGTATTTTCAAATTAATTAATACCTACATTAATATATTAATGAAATGAATATTAAGGAGAACAATTCAATTCACTTTAAATAAAATGAAATAAGAATAATGATAAATACTCGATATTTTCATGAATAAATAATATTTAACTTTCATATTTCGTACATTAAGTATTTCATTTATTATTTATTCTATTTAAATCTTTGTTTATTTAAAACATAAATTATCATATTTTATATTAATTTATTCAAAATAAATTTAAATAAAAATTCATTTAATTTCTGTAATTTTTAATTATTTCATCAAACTGTTTGTAGAAATAGCATTTCAATGTCTTTATAATGTTATTTTATCGTTATACATACTTATTTTCATTTTAATTATTTCTTCTTTATGATGAGTAATATCGATAATTTGTTTTATAGTTCCTTTTAGCCTTCTTTTACAAACACAAATGACTTGGTAATTTTGTGTTCTACTTATTTATTTCACTTCTTTCTTTTCTTATTATTGTCAATTTTTTATGAAGAATAATTCATTTAGTCTCAGTTCTTTCAACTTCTCAATCACTATGACTAATTTCTTCTACATATTTCATTCTTTTGGGGGTTCACCAATTTTATTTGTTTGATTATTCTTTTCTTGTTTAATATTTCTATCTTTTTCTTCGTTAATGCTATAATAATCAATATCTCTTTTTCATTTCTTATACATTAATCAGTTTTAATGATATTGCATATTTCGTCATCCTTACATCTTTATTTTTGTTTGTATATTATCACAACAAAATGAACTTTTTGATTCATTAAATTACATTGGAAATTTTTTATTTCTCCAATTATTTCCAATGAAAAATCACAACAATTCTTGTTATTATTTTTCTTCTTTTGTTTTCTTCTTTTCTTCATGAACTTCTTTATGAATATAACATTAACATTTAATCAACATGATACAACTACGTTTCTAAATACTTGATATTGGAAAAATACTCTGTATTATTTTATTCATTTTGTTATTATTTTATGAAAACAATGGTTGAAATTCAAAACAATATTAATTATTTAAAGTTCTTGTATATATAATCAACTATTTATTCAGACTCATTCTTTTCCATTCTTCGTTGTCTTGTAATACATGCATATTAATAATAAATATATCTCATTTATCGCATTTTTCATATGTTCATTTTGTTTCTTTAGTTTTTGATTTTGCGTTATTATTTTATTTGAAAGCATTCTTCTTCATTTTGAATTTACAAAATATACTTTTCAACCACTTGTCTTTCAAAGGATAAATAATTTAATTTATTTAATATTCATTGATTGTTTTTAGTTGTTTTAAAGTAATTAAATATGACAAATATCTATCAATTTGAAGAATGTTATTTATTATTAAAAAGTATTTCATATTCATTTGAAATAAATAACTTTATTTCTTCATTTTTAAAATATTCTTCACATTATATTTATTTAAATGAAAACCAACGAAGTATTTTTAAAAAATAAAATATTTTATCGAATGTTACATAACCATTATTTTAATTATTTTATTTTAAGATAATTTTCTATTAATATTGTTTTAATATAGTTTTACATAAAAATGTATTTATGAATTAAAGGAATTAGAACATATTTAAAAATAAATGAATAAATTTGTCGATAATTTAACATAACATTTTGTTTATTTGTTTGAAATCCAAATATCATTAAATGAAAATAATTTTGTAATGTTATGATTGAACAAAAATGAATAAATAATTTTACATAATTTTGAAATATATTTATTATTACAATTATTGGTTTCCATTGAACAATTATTTATTTTTATTTAGTTACAATGATTATATTTTTATTCATTCATGAATTATTAATTGGATAATGTTAATGTTGTTAGATAATCAAAATAAAAGAATGAAAGATGGTAATGTATTTATTATTTTATTTCAATAAACAAAAAGA